ACCTGGCTTTGGGCTGGGCGGATCATGGAGGGTCCCCCTCCTCCCAGGCTGGCGAGGTGATGAGTCCTGCCCTCCCGATGACACACACAGCCACATGGCCACTGACCACAGACAGAGCCACACATCAGCCAGGCTCCCCCACCGCATACCCTCCATGCCCGAGCCCCAGCAATGCCGAACATGAACTCACCACCGCCTTCCAGAGCCGCTCCTCCCCACCCCATCCCCCTGCCCTGGCACTGCCCCCAACCTCCCACCCCATCAGTCCTGACATCCTCGTGCCTCGGAGTCCACTCCCCACCCGCCCTGCTTTCGCCAGGTCTCATCAGCTCCCCCCAACCAGGACATGGCCTATGACTGGCTGGGGACCCACTGTACACACCTGCTACCCATGAACCTTCCGTGGTCCCCACCCCGCCCGAAAGATGGGTCACCCTCACAGGGCCTCCATCAGCACCCACCTATGCTCAGCACTTCCTGCCCAGCCCCTCTGCACAGGCTTTGTGCCCACCTCTCCACCGTGTGGATGCCACCTCCTCCAGGAGCCCTCCCTGATCTAGCCCTCGGCTGGATTCCACACGCCGCCATCTGTCCCTCTCGGCACAGGACTGGAGACTTCTCGGGGGATTACTGGTGGTGAGGGTGGGCAGGGACAGAGGCCAGACCGCACCAAGCCGCAGGACGCATGAGCAGTCTGCTCGCTTCTGCAGGCGGTGGGAGCCACGGCTGGGCTTTCGCAAGAAGGGGGGAGCTGTCTCTTGTGCAGAGGTGCATGGGCAGGCTGACCCCGAGGGGTGCCTTGGGGTCCCAGCTGCACCTCCAGGCTGGCATGTGGCCTCCAAAGGGGATGCACAGGGTGAGGGTGCTTCCTAGGCCACGCCCCGACGGGCGGACAGCTGCACAGCCCGGGCCTAAGCTCCCCTCTGGCTGGTCTCCCAGCTCCCTGTGGCCTCGGGGCCAGCAGCTTGGCAAGGGCAGGACACGAGGCAGCTCAGCAATGCAGTCCGGGGTGGGGGGTGGGGGGGCGAGAAGCCGGGGCGGCCTCATCTTGCCTGATTTGCTAAGAGGATTAAAAATCAAAAGCCAACCAAAACTCTTACATAAATAAAACAAAGCGCAGTAGGAACCTGCCCGGGGCTGCACAGTACATGCTGACTATTAAATGCCAATTGCAACCCCCAGGGCTCTGACCTCTGAGCCCACTGCTCCGCAAAGGCCGTGGGTCTGCAGTGAGGCAGACGCAGTGAGCATCACAGGCTCCGAGGTGGGCAGGGCAGCCTCCTCCCTGTGCAGAACCTTGACCGCCCTGGTCTCGGTGTGTACGACCCCATTACACAGGTCTTTGTCTGCACCGTACAACACTGCCTCCCTGAGCGGTGTGCTCCCAGCACTGGGGGTATGCAAGGATGGTCAGCAGGGTTGTGGGAGATTCACACACACGTGGCAGCCCACAGCACCGACCGGCCCGTCAGAGAACACGCGGACCACCTGTGAGGCTGAGCCTGGAGAAGATGGGGAGAAAGCGTTGTGTCAGAAGGTGGTGTGAGGGTCTAGAGGGCACCCTAGGGTGCACTCATGAGGCTAATGAAGGGGCTACCTCGGCACGAGGGTCAGGGGTGGCGGGACATCTAGGCCACGTGAAGGCGGCGGAATGAGAATCTGGGGCAGTGGGCGCAGCATGTGCAAAGGTCCTGAGGTGGAAAGGAGACTGGCCTGCCTGGAGCACGAGGATGAGACAGTGTTCAGGGTGAAAGTGGCCAGATGTCACCGGGCTCATGGGCCAGGTGGTGGGGAGCTGTCGAGGGTGTCCAGCTGGTGACAGGCAGATTTACCCTGGCTGTTGGTGTGGACGTGATCAAGGAGGAGAGAAGTACAGGCCAGAGTTGCCAGGACACGTAGGAGCAATGGCGGCTGGGGCCGAAAGACTCCCCTGTGAATGGGAGCTAAGAAATAAGGAGAAGTGGGGGATCAAAGGCAGCACAGCCTCCTGACCTGAACTCCCCAGGTGGTCCCCAATTGAGGACACGGGACACGGGACTCCGGCTGAGAAGAGGCAGGACCTGAGTGGTAGGAGCCTGCGTGTACTTGAAGGCAGGCCCGGCTGAGGGTGGAGAGGGCAGGACTTCCGTGCGGAAAAGCTCGGGGTGGGCAGAGCCTCACCCGCCGTGACGAGTGGACATCACCCAGCGACCTCTGGCCGGGCCCTCCGGAGGTGGACGCTGAGTGGAATGGAGTGGAGACCCAGGCCTGCCCGACCCCAGGCCCCGGGACCTTCTGCCTCCGGCTGCAGAAGCAGCCTGGGACCCAGAGAGTAGCTTTCAAAGCCGGCCAGACCGGAGGCCAGGCCTGGCTCGGTCACTTCCTGGCCGACTGACCTCAGACAAATCACTTTGCCCTTTCCCGCCTCCGTGGCATGTCTGTGGTGTTTGAAGGACCAGATCAGAGGCAAGGGGGACAGTGCCGGCGGGAGCGGCCCAGCCAGGGCTCACAGGGACGCTGGCCTGCGGAAACCTGTCTGAGCCGAACAGCGCCAGTGACCGGCCTGTCCAGCTGTCCCCCCTGCAGCGCGCGAGCCCCCCCCCCGCCCCCAGCCTTCCCTCTGCCTCAGCTTTGCCGCTGTCCCTCTCTGTCCTCCCCATCCTGTCTGGAGAGACCCCTCACCTCCCACAGCTTCGCACAGAAGCACCCCGACTGCAGAGGAAACAGACTGGGGTGCACAGCCATAACAGTCCTACTTGGCCATGAAATAACCAATGGCAGCTGACACAGACCTCTCCCCGGGGCGTGCTGCTGTCCCCCGCTCTGCCGCTGTCCCCCCCGGCCGCTGCCCCCCACTTGGCCGCTGTCCCCCCCGCTCGGCCGCTGTCCCACCCCGCTTGGCCGCTGCCCCCCATCGGGCCGCGCTCCCGCTTGCGCTGCCCCCCACTCTGCCTCTGCCCACCCCCGCTCGGCCGCTGTCCCCCCTCTTGGCCGCTGTCCCCCCCACTCGGCCGCTGTCCCCCCTCTGCCGCTGTCCCCCCCGCTCTGCCGCTGCCCCCCTACTCTGCAGACGGGGGACTGTGGCTGAGTCACTTGTCTAAGGCCATTACTGAGTAGGAGGCTTCCCGGGACGCCCCAGCCCATGATGTCCCCTCCTCCCCGCTCTCTGAGGTTCTCCAGGGCACAGACAGGATCGCCTCCTTGGAGTGCCCTTGTCACCAGCCCAGGGCCAGCCCGACACACTGGAGGAACTTCGCAAAGGAGGGCACATCCGTCAAGAACGAGGGTTTAAAATGCCTGGACCACCTCCAACCTCCCTGCCGGCCCAGGGCCCTGGAGTCTTATTTCAACAGTGTCCACCACATGGAGGGTGTTGGGGTGTGGGAGGGCCCCCCACAGACACAACCAAGCTGCTGTGGGCAGGCGCTCACACTGAGCCCCCACCTCTCAGACCCATCAGCAGGGCCCAAGACGGGCCTGCCAGTACCAGGCCCCAAAGCACGCGGGCCACCCTGAGGGTGCAGCGGGCACCCATTAAATACAGCACCCATCTCCCAGACATTCAGGGGCACCACGCTCTCACCCCCGTCCTGGGCGTAATCTAAACCCATCTGACGCATCACCCGCACTTCCCTTATACCCTACAACGGTTCTCCCAAGTAATCAGTTCATCTTGTCTGGTGCTTCCCAGACTGGGCTCCCCGGAACCCCGGTGTGCCGGCAGGAGCACGCACGTTCTGCCTGGAAAGGAGGGCTGTCGAAACCCTCGGGCAGTGCTGGCTTCTCCCATTCGTGTGCGTGCGTGCGCGCGCGGGGGTGCGTGTGTTCTTACTGCAGGCTTCCTCAGAGCCGGAGGGAATCAGTGGGACTGCCCACTGCAGGGACGGTGACCACCTTCCCAACCTTCTGGGCCTCGGGTACTTCTTTTCAGAACAGCGGACCTTTGGGGAAGCCCGGCCCGCAGGATAAAGTCCATCCGCACACTGCTGTGGCCACTGCTCATCCCATAACTGCCAACCTGCCCAGCCGGGGGTGTCTCACACACCGGCACACACACATGCACACGCACCACACGCACGTGCGTGTACACACACACGCACACGCACCGCCTGCTCAGGTCTGTTTGCCCTTCCCACGTGCTCGTCACGCACAGCCAGCCTCCACGAGCCGGTTCCTGGGGTTCCCTCTCCCCAGACCGCCCTTCCCTCCGGCTGCCCTGACGGCGCGTCCTCAGCTAAGGTGTCCCTCACCCCTGAAGGCTCCCGGCGCCCAGGCAGCAGTGCCCGCGGTCCCCGCGGAGGCCGCAGGCTGAGGACCCCCAGGGGCCTGCTCCCTGATCGCGGGCCCCGCCTGGGGCCTCTGTGGGCATCTTCGGGTGAATGCCGGAGCCTGCCTTCCCTAGTGCCGCCCCAATAAGGGGACGGGATTTTCTAGCATTTTCTCCCCTGCACAGGGTCAACCTGTGTGGCAAGAAGCAGTCCAGGGCCAACTCCAGGTCAGGGGAGGCTGCTGTAGGGTTCGAAGGGATTGAGAAATCCCTCTCCCACGCCTCTCCCCGCGGAGCCCCGAGCAGTCCAGACCCCACGGGCTCGCTCCCCGTTCCCAAACAGCCCCCGCAGACAGGCACTTTCAGTGCAACTAAAAAGAAAGAAAACACTACATGTTGCTCAAGAGGTCACCAGACTAGGGATTCAGGACCAGGAGAGCCTGCTTTTCCTCCAGCACCTCGACAGGGCAGGGGGAGCCGGCCATGCGGAGAGACCCAAGGCCAGGTGGGGGCCCTCGGGGTCGTCAGGAGAGCTCCAGGTTCACTTTCGACTCCTTCCATGACCTTGGGGACAGCAGTTTATCCCTGTCCCCCCACCTGGAAAACCAGAAGGCTGGCTCGATGCTTTCCCACGGGTCTTCTTCCACTTCCCAACCTTGAGGTTCCGCCCTAGCTCGGAGCCTCAGTTTCCCCAGGAGAAGACTTTAGGCCCCTCCTCCCTCCCCCACCGGCCCGCCCCAGCCCGAGCACTTACCCAACGGGCAGGCACCCTTCTGCAGCTGGCGCACAGGCGACCCCGAGAGCTGCAGTGCCCTGCGGCTGGCCGCCTGCAAGGCGCACACGTTGGCATAGGTGTGCCCGTCGGTGCCGCACACAGCGTGCGCCCAGCGGCAGCGGCAGGCGCCGCGGGCGCACTCCAGGCTCTCCCCGCACGGCGAGTCGAGGGGGCGGCCGCACGGCTCGCCCTCGCTGGCGGCGCACACCAAGCAGCAGTTGCAGGGATCCGGCACGTAGCCGCCGGGGCAGCGGGGGCTGGGGCAGCGCGACACCTCGCAGCGCGCAGGGCAGGGCGTCGCCGGGGGATCCCGGGCCAGCGCCAGCGCGGCCAGCGCGGCCAGGAGCAGCGCCCGCGCCTGCATGGCGAAGGGGCCGGCGCCGGGCGGCAGCGCGGGGGACCGGCGGGGCGCCAGCGGGGACACCGAGGCCGCGCCGGGGCCGGGCGCCGGGCGCCTGCGGAGGAGCCGAGGCCGGGCGCGCGGCCACATGCGCCGGCGACTCAGGCGGCTCAGGCGGGCGGGTGCCGGGACCGCAGGGGCATGACCGGGGCGCAGGGACAGGAGAGGCGCCGCTCCCTCCGGGCCGACAGTCTGCGGGCAGCCGGCCCGACCGCATTTAAAGGCGAAGCCCGGCCCCCGCCCCCGTTGAAAGGGGCGGCCGGCCCCTCCGCCAGCCCCGCCCCGAGCCCAGCTGGCCCCCGCCCGGCCTTCGGGCCTGGACCCACCCAGTGGCGCGGGACTGGACGGGGCCTGCCTGGCTGGGGACCCCGGCCACGGATATGCTGCTGACCTGGAGGGGTGGGAGCCACGGGGACGGGAAGCACCAGGGTGCAGATCTCAGGCTCCCCTGAGGTGCCTGCACCAGACACGTCCAGAGTTCCAGCGACAGAGCTGCTGCCCCTCCCCATAGAAAGGGACAGGCATCCAGACCCTTCAGCTCCTCCTCCCCAGCCGGTCTTCTGTCCCTCACCCTTTCTCCTCCTCCCCTGCCCGGCCTCCTCCACCTCCTTAGCACATTACACACCAGCGGTGTGGGTGGGTGTCCCTCTGGCCCCCCTAGGGACGGACCCTCAGGGAGCACCTGCCTCCTGCCCTGATTGCCAGGGTCTTGAAAGCCAGGAGGACGCACACTCCCAGGCTCGGGATAGGCCTTTCAGGGTCCACAGCTCTGTGCCTCAGTTTCCTTCTCTGTGCCACCTCATAGGACGGTTGGGGGACCCCACAGAGTAGACGGTGGGGTACAGTTTTGCAAGCACTTTATGCTTGGCACACAGCCCGCAGGAACTGGAGCTCCGTCCTCATTATTCTGCAGCCTCGGAAGGGCCACTTCAGACCCAGCGCCCTGCCCTGCGGGGCCCAGAGCCTGCTGACAAGGATGTGACGCTGCTGTGATGAGGCTGTGGGGTCCGAGGACAGGCAGGACCCCTTTGAAGGTGAGTAGGGTTTGGATTTGCGGTAATAGGACCGGGGCTGGCAGAGGACAAACCAGGAGCTGGTCACCACCTGGTCAAAGGCTCCAGAAGCAAAAGCAAATCAGAGCTGGGTCCTCCCTCGGCTGGGAAGACGAGCGTGCAGGCCTGGATTCGGAGCTGGTCCCCCCGCAGCTGGGAAGACGTGCGGGCCTGGAGCTGGTCCCCCTGCAGCTGGGAAGAGGAGCGTGCAGGCCCGGAGCTGGTCCCCCCCGCAGCTGGGAAGAGGAGCCTGCGGCCCGGAGCTGGGCGCTCACTCCTTCTGCCCTGAGCCCTTGGCTGCCTGGTAAAGTCTGAGGCGCCCACTCAGAGTGAGGTTTCTTAAGTGCACGAAACAAACTATAGAGCAGCACAAAGGGAAACAATGCGACTGACATGCACTTAGTGAAACACCAAATAAATCCGCCACATGCACGTGGGTTTCTCTGAACACGGTAACAACACCTGGCCGGTGGTGGGGTCGCGGTCAGCCTCGCAAGCAGCAGGGAGCAGAAGGGAACTGGAGGTACTGCGGCAGCCACAGGGTGGTGCGGAAACACCTGTGCCTGTCCTTGGTGACAGGGTCCCAGGTGTGCGAGGCCCAGGCCCACTTCCCCGCTGGAGGAAGGGCTGAGCTTCAGGGGGTGGTGTTGGTGAGAGCAGGATGCTTGTTTTCATCCATGGTGTGGGCACACCGGTTAGGAACCTCTGGCTCAGAGGAGGGAGAGGGAGCTGGGGGTGGGGTCCGGCATCTGGGGGAGTGAGGAGGGGCTGTGCTATCCCTGAGGGCCTGGGGTGCTCGAAGGCCCGGGCAAGCCTACCCGGGATCAGCCAGGTGTGTTGGAGGCCGGGGTACGAGCACCCACAGATTTGAGGGGGGCAGTGGCTGTAAGTGTGGTGTTGAAGGGCAACAGGTAGATGGGTGTGAAGGGGCCAGGGCTCCCCCTTTGATAAAGGGCAATAGACCTGCGTCTTTGCATCGAACACCTGGAAATGCATTTTGCTTCGAAGATGTGGAGAGTTTCAGGCCTCTCCTTGGTATAACCGGGATTGCCAGGGGCAGGGACCCCAGTCAGGGCTGGTCCTGGCTCACCTCTCCTGCAGGGCAGGCTCAGGCTGGTCGAGCAGACTGGCCGCAGGCCCAGGACACCCTGCAGGGCTTCATGACTCGGGGGACACGCAGTAAGACACCCATCACTCAGGGCAGTGCTCGGGCACGCCGGGCTCCCCAGTGCACAGACCTGGGACGGGGCGAGAGCTCACGTTTCTTCTAAACCTGTCGTGCACAGATGGGGAAACAGCCTGGGAGAGGCGCCGGGCTGGCTGCTGCTGCGGACCACAGCGTGCGTGCCCTCTGCAGTTCAGGACAGCCGGCTGCTTCCTGGGCCCCGAGGCTGGCCGGCCTCGGCACCCCTTATTTGACTCAGTGCTCTCTGCCCCTGGGAGGTGGGTGCTATGACCCTCAGAAGAAGGCTCTGGAAGGTGAGGGCCCCCACCTGTGGCGGGCTGGGACTCAGACCCAGGTCTTCCTGCCAGGCAAGTGCACGGTCTCCCCTGCAGACCACACTGCCCCCAGCGGCCACTCAATTGGCTCTTGACCACTGCCTTGCGAAGGGATATTTATTCCTTGTGCAGATGGGGAGACTGAGGCCCTCAGTTAAGGGACACATAGTAGCTTTTCTTTTCCGGTTGGAAGCCTAGTGCCGTCCCTGGGGTCACCTTTGCGGCTGGGCTCACAGAGGCCCCAGGGAGCCTGGGCTGGCCGGAGGCCCAGAGTGCTCTCTGCACTTAAGAGTGAACTGGGTTCCAGATCAGGGCAGATGCGGGACGCGGAGGGAGCAGCGCCCCCTGCTGCCCCCACTCCTTCCTGCCTCTGGCTCAGCAAACCAGGACACCCTCAGGGGCGTCCCCTCCTGGATCCCTGTCCCTGGCATCTGCACCTCTCAGAGCCTGGCACCTCCTGTGGGCGAGGGGTCCTTGGAGCCCAGCGTGCACCAGGTGATGCTTTACGGCAGGTGGAGGCCCCTCCTCCTGCCGGGACCTGCAGGGAACACGGGTTCTGCGTGAGCGTCCGCTCCGTGCCGGGCCCTCTCTATGTGATCACAGTCCGTTCTCCAACAAACGCCGGGAGGCTCACCCCACGTACATACATGTATCATTTTCTTGTCTCTATTCACTGCCCTTTGGTCCCCACTCACACGAACCTTCCTACAAGGATGGACCCGGGTCAGCCCACGTGACCTGTGGCGCGCAGCACAGGGCGAGAATGTTCCAGAAGGGGGGAGGGCTGCAAGGACCGAAGGCATCAGGACCCTCTCAGTGACGACCACAGACCACACGGGACCTCTGATCAGCGTCGCCGGGGGACTGAGGCTTTCTCCCCGGGGCCTGGTGCCCGAGGGCCCGTGGGGCCGGGTGTGTCCCACAAGCCAGCAGCGGCCGGAGGGCGGCAAGTGGTCAGAGGCAGTGGTGCCCGCAGGCTGTGCTTTGGTTGAGCTTGTTTGAGCCCCGGCTTCTCGGGCAGAGAGGATGCTCTTCGGGGTTCGGGCCTGCACCTCACCAGCTCCTGCGGCCATGCCATCTGGGCCACACCCGACCCCTCCAGACGCCGCCCTGCAGAGATGGCGTCGTCCACCCAGGCTGCATGCTGGGTACCAGCCAGTGCTCCTTACATTGGTCGGAAAGGAGCTGAGTCCCTCCAGCCAGGACCTGGGCGGGCTGGGGTCTTCACGCGCCCAGGAGCACCCCCACCTCTGCATGGAGCTGGACAGCAGGGCTGCACCCTGGTCCTCGGTCATGCTCCCCAAACTGTGCAGGCTGTGCCCTTTGACCTGCCCCTGGTCCAGCCCGGGGCTCGCATTGGATGAGGTCATAGCTTACCTCACTTTGGGGACCTTGAAGAGCATCCCTGGCCACACCTTGGTCTGCGATAAGACACCATCCTCTGACATTCGTGGGTGACTCAGAGGGTGGGCCCCGCTCAGGGTCTGGTGGGGAGGGGGTGGTGGCCTGGGACACACTCTGTGTCCCTCCCCTTGGCACGCACCACGCTGAGAGGGGACAGCCCTCCCACCCCGGCCCGGGGCCCTGGCCTGCAGGACAGAGCTGGCAGCTGCTCACCCATCCCCGCTCTCGGGACCCCGTGAAGTAGGTGCTGTGACCCCCATGTTGCAGGCGAGGCCGCCCAGGCACAGGGAGGTGGAGTGACGTGCCCAAGGTCACAGTGCGGGACTGGGCCCGAGGTCAGAGGCTCAGCGGACAGAGAGCTTGGACATGTGAGGGGCCCATGGAGGGGTAAGGACCTGGGGGGGACTTCCAGGAGCTGGGCAGCCCCCAGCTGACAGCCCACAAGGAAACAGGACCTCGGTGCTCCGACCTGAAGAAGTGAGCCCTGCCTGACCCAACCCCGAAGACCTGCGCCAGGCCCAGCTGGCACGTGCGGCCCAGACCCCGGGAAGCCGCGGCGGAGGTGCCCCGAGGCCCCAGGTCCCCGGCCATCGGTCCGCAGCACAGAGGACGGCTTGGGGTGAGGGCTGCGCCAGGCCTGCGAGGCAGCTGGTGGTGGAGGAGGCAGTGGCCGAGAGAAGGGGGAGCCCCCCGCTGCTCGGCCTGCTGACCCTGCCCTGCTCTTTCCGGGCATTTCCTTAGGTTCTGGCAACAGACCACAGGGGTGCTGGCCAGGCCGCCTCCTAGGCCCAGAATGGGCCAGGGGGTGTGAGTAACTTTCCCGAGGGCCCTAAGCTGTGAGACAGGGTGCCCAGGACGGGCGGACAGTTTGTGTGACCCCAAAGTCCACGCTGTTTCTCCAGCACCGTACTGTGTTCCAGGCCCATTTTACAGAAGGAAAGCTGAGGCCCGGACGGGGAGGGTCTGCTCAGAGAGCCAGGCTAGTTGACCACTGCAGGTCCCATCGATCGAGTCTCTACTCCGCATCAGGCAAACACGTGTGTCTGACTGTGACCACACGCACCCTCGGAGGTTCCTCGTGGAGATGCCCAGTGCACAGAAGCAAGCAAGGCCCGCAGAGGTGCAACACCCGCCCACACTCACACAGCGGGCGGCAGGGGGGACAGGCAGCCGGGCGGCGGCCTCACCTACAAACCCTGCGGCACGACCGGGACTGGCAGCGGGCGG